TGCCTGCTTTCTGCTTAAATTTTAAGCAGAAAACAGGCAATTCAGAACACCAAGATGTTTTATGTCTGAGCGTAGCAAGTGCATGCATCTCAATATTATCACTAACATGAAATATGCAAGCTGACTGTCGGGACGGTTTTAGCATTCCTGACATTTTCTCAACAGCTCACATACGCCGGTTTTCTGAAACTCATTTTTAGTAGAAGTTGAAATAAACAAACAAAAAGATTTGCAGGTGAGAAGTTCGCATGATCTGAAAAGTGAAATCGCGATTGCGTATGACTTATATCGCGATAAATACCGTAATCCGAATATCAACTGGGTTAATTTATATCGTAATGCTAATATGATTGCGTATAATCCATATGATAAACGAATTTACATCTACGACCATGGATACTTGCTTACTTTACCAGCAAGGATCACGTGGAGGGCTAAATAGCCACTTGATTGGTGTACTTCTACTGTAATTTTAGGTGAATCGAAAAAATTAGCAACCTTGCTATTGTTTTCAAAGTTTCTCGTAATGACATTTGTATTTTCACGTTCCACTACTTTCACCAATTGCCTGACCGTCGAGCTCGTGTAGCTGAAAACTTTTCCAGTTGCTCTGACAAATGCTGTATTGTCTATTAATTAGCTTATTGGTGATCCTGACATTTGTTTCATCTCTGGAAAAAATTACCGGATTAGTTCTCCAGACAAAAACTCTTGCTGGGGCACTGACCATTTTCGGATTTTCTTGGAGAATGTTGTACATTAGCACCCTTTCTCCGAATGTTTTTACGCTTAGAAAAATATTATATCCTTGATGAGCAGCATTTTTTACGCGCTTAAAGTGTTAAAAATTACTTATTATTGTATTTTTCGAAACAAAAAAACAGTAAATTTTAAAGTTTTTGCCAGATACTGTAAAATGTCTTTTGTTCGAAGAATTGTGACCTTGTATTTCTGAGGGAATGCGGAATCTTTTTTTCCAGTATGATTGAGTGGTCTACATAGACATTTAGAAGCTATTGGTAAGACTTAATTGTCAATTGCAGTCGCATGGCTGCTTTTTCAGTCCAAAATTTCATGGAAACAAAAAATCCTGGACATTTTTTCATAAATTTTCTAGGATCATTGTAATTTCGTGTGTTTGTTTGGATCTATTTACAATCATTCGCATCACTGCATGGGAATGTTGAAGCAGTCTGATGAAATCTTAGGAGCCAAACAACACATCGACTATCTTTGCATACATGAAAGTGTAAAACAGTTAAATTTTAGAAAGCAAACGTCCGCTGGATGGAACTGCGCAAAACGCATAATCACACTGGCCACTTGGTGCACGCCAAGTGGCCAGTGTGATTATTGCTGCACACATATATATATGTATATGTTATCTGGAAATTATTTTACAATAATGCAAGGTGTTAAGCAAGCGCTTTTCAGTTTGTAAAAGATTTCCAGATTAACTTACATTGCCTTGCACCGCTTCCAAACTATCTTCAGTCAGCACCCCATCTCAGTTTTTCGAATCTTTTTTCCGGCCAGCGCTTTTCGCTCAAACCCATTCCAGCTCTTCTCTTTTATCTCGCAAATTCATTATCAACCAGAGCGCCTCTCATCCCGAGCCGAATTCCAGTCAACGCATCCCCGATTTTTGTTTAACTCATGCAACCAAACCCAGCCCCGTCTACCCCAGCTGACGGAATCCATTTCCACATACCTCACACATCCTCATAATATCGCGTCCAATTCTCCACTGCACCTATCTCGTCCATTTTACCCGTCTCAACCTATTTTTATATACCGTACTCACCCGCTCCGCCCATCAGCACCGAAACTCGCCTACCTTTTTCAGCGCATTTCATCCCCGCCCCTTCATTTACCCCACCTGCCTCAGGAACCCAGCCCACCTCTCAACTACGCCCTGCCTGTGGAAAAAGGGAGCGAAAACAAAAGAATTGAAGATGACTGTTTCTGCTAATACAAGTTGCCACACGCTCTTCTTCCAATTTGGTCCGGGAGTACCAACAAAATCGATGGTCAGATAATGGAGCCAGTACGTCGGCTCTAGCTGATTCGATCCAAATGAATAATACGTCGGCTCTCTCGAATCGAACACCACACCTCAACTTTGGGTTATTAAACCATTTATTCAATGCATACAATACAAATGATGCCTGCGACACCAAACACGCAAAACGACAAAACTTCAAACGCTTATTCAGCAACAAAACAGGTCAGCCGCTCACTGCCTTCGCAGCTACACTTTTTTTGAGCAAAACTAAAAGAGCAACATCCTTATTCTTAATACAGCAGACGGAGCAAAAAACAATGGGCAGCGCACACGCGCTGCGAGTAAACAACAAAAAAAGGAGGAAAAACTCAGCACAAAACAAGAGGGACAAAGGTCAACTGACGCATGTGGGGAAAAAGCATCTCCCTACAATATGTTTCGTTTTTTTTTTTTTTTTTTTGTTGTAAGACGCCTACTACAATCGTTGTAAACGAAACTCACAAAATTTACAGCCGACCAAGAATATCTTGAGACCTCCGGTCTCAACACTTCCCACCCTATCCACTTCACCCCTTCTTGCCATCTCAACCCCAGCCCGCCCTTCCTCAGCCTCAACCAAACCCTCCCTCAGCTCCAGCCAAACCCTTCCTCAGCCCCAGCCAAACCCTCCCTCAGTCCCAGCCAAACCCTCCCTCAGCCCCAGCCAATCCCTCCCTCAGCTCCAGCCAAACCCCACGACCCTCCCTTAAATCCCAACCCTCCCTTAACCCCAACCTTCCCCCACCGCAACCCTCCTCTAAACCCAACCTCCCTCCAGATCCAACCCCGCTCCCCTTAACCCCAACCGGTCTTTAACGCCAACCCCGCCTTAACTCCAACCCTCTCCTAACCCCACTTCCCCCTCTCCTAATCCCACTTCCACCCTCACTCCTCCCTCATCCCATCCACTGTCCCAAACAACTCCTCAATTGCCGAAACCCCCCAACACAAACTCAGACAAGCTACACCTGAAAACCCAGTGGTGGGGCGCCACCCTGGACTTTACACTATCAGACGCTAGACGTGCCCCGTCTTAGCGTCAGGTCTTAGACCTAGTCGGTGTTTGTTATTACATATCTCTGGTGGGAAAGTGACAGTGAGCGGGTGGTCAAGTATAGGTAGACTAGAGATGCAAAGAACACTCTCTTATCCATGAGCGCTTGCAGATCCAGCGATCCGACCTGTGTCTTAATATATATGAATAATCCTGCTGGTTGTTTTATTTCGCAGAATCTGTTTTTTTTCTTTCTAAGCAGTTATTCGAGAGAGTTTACTGAACAAGGATGTTTCGGTTCTTTGAATTGTGCACAAAAGTGACGTGAATACCGAGGCACCGGTCCAGATAATGAAGAAAATTTTTTAAAAAATACATTTCAATTAATATTTTGCATGCAAGAGGCGCATCACTTTAATAAAAAATACCAAAATCATTCAAACAGCCGATGTGGATGTCGGTTGTTAAATAAGGTTGCTGGAATGTTCCCACACGACAAGCACGGTTATGTCGTATTTGAATTTACAGTTACTCAGTTTTTTATGTTTTTTTATATGCATGCAAATGCGAAAACGCATATTGTGGAGAACCACGGTGTGTGTATGTTTTTGTCTAATTTCACCTAATTTATCAAATTCCAGAGACTAAAATAACTGAGTAAAAAAAATGAAAAAAAAATGATTTATTAGAAAAGGGAAAAATTTCAAAAAGATCAAAGCATATTGCACATTCGGTTTATGGCACTAAATAAACTAAATTTTTTTTTATCATGAAATGAATCGTACGTTTTCCGAGTGTTCCGCTCCCAGAAATGAATGGAAATATATAATTAAAATTATTATTTCAAAAAAAAAAAACGTGTACGCTTAAGTGAGTGGGTGCAGCTAAGCATATGATGATGAGATTGTACGAATACTAGGAAACCAGTGCTGTTATGCGTGCCTGCTTTGGGAAATAACAAAAGACCATTCGGTGTTCATCAGGGTTTATTCTAGATGATCTAACACCACCGGAAGCGCCATACTTTCCGGATTTATTTCATCTGCTCTTTGAAGACACAAATTTTTTCGTCCAATTTTCA